CTTTTTAAGTGGGAGAACTTGCACAATTGGTGGCTGACTAAATACTTTTTTGCCCCACTGTATATCTCTAAATATCACACATAAGCAAAACATGTAGGTAGAAAAAAAGAAATCAACGAAAAAGAACGAGTGTACTTTTAAAAAAATTAAAATTAGAATTTGCTTTGAACATTACAGTTCGTTTAAATGTCAAATCTTTCTAATAGTAAATTACTCTGGAGTCTAGGTTTGAAGTACCGTATTTTTCCGTCTATAAGATGATACTTTTTTTCTAAAATCGTTACACTAAAAATTGAAGGGCATCTTATGCGAGGAAGTAAGCCAAGGAGAGAACCGCGCGGTTGCAAAACTGCCCGTGCTTTGTCTCTGCAAACAGACTTCCTCCAATCACGAGCCTTATGTAACTGACGTCAGCTGATGCTGAACAAACCAAGGAGGAAGTCTGTTTGCAGAGACAAGCTATCGGCAGTTTCACTCACGATTGAATGTAATCAGTTATGCAAAAGAGCATGGAAATAGAGCTGCAGAGAGACAGTTTGGACCTCCTCCCACTGAGTATATCATGTAAATGTTACCTAATTACTAAATAAAAATGTGTTCTGCTTTATCTTTAAAATATTGATTTGTTTCACTCACGATTGAATGTAATCAGTTATGCAAAAGAGCATGGAAATAGAGCTGCAGAGAGACAGTTTGGACCTCCTCCCACTGAGTATATCATGTAAATGTTACCTAATTACTAAATAAAAATGTGTTCTGCTTTATCTTTAAAATATTGATTTCCTAATTTTGGGTTGGAAAAGTGGGGGTCTTATACATGGGGGGATCTTATAGATGGAAAAATATGGTAAGTGTGTATAAGTGTGTACCACCTGCTTCCTTAACCTAGTGTCCTACTCCTGAGCATTCCCAAACATGTTTATATGACTGTGTTTATAAAGTATGTCATATCTTTATGCAGTAACTAACTGCTTGGACACATGTGTATTGTAAATACAGGTATGACACAAATGCATGGTGCCCCCTTGTACTTACTAAGCAAGTTCCTTACGGAGACAACAATATCTTCAGCCATATCAGTTCATACTATAGCTATTAACCATTACGCTAAACCAGCAAAATATAAAATAAATGTAATTGGGACATTGGCTAATCAGTGTCATTCTGGCCAAATCTAGCTGTCACTGGTCAAGCACCCCCAGGTACATAAGTAGGTCTTACTATGGATCTTCTTCAGTGATCTCCTCCCATTTGCCATAAGGTGTGACCTTTTGAGATGAAGCCTGTGATGTTTCTTGTGGAACAGATGGACTATTCTCATGGTCAGTCCTATCTTGTTTCACCTCCTGCCATTGTCCGTAAGGGCTAATCTTTTTGGGTTTGTGAGGCTTTTCTTCTACTTCTTCATCACTATCCGTCTTCCTCTGAGAAACAAGAGAGGGGATGTCTTGTTACACAGTGATGTTATAACAACAACATTACTTTCTTTGAAAAAAAAAAAAGGAGCCCAAAGTTCAGATATTAGGATTTTTATATTCAGTAAGCATACAGTCCTGGAAATAAGAAAATCAACAATTTTTCAACCACCACCTTGAGTTTACTCAAGCTTTTCTTCCTAATTTTACTGATACAATTTGGACTATTTTGTCAGTAACAGCTACTAACTATACAAATGATAACTATAGACTATAACTACGCTGTATACCTTTATGCCTCTAATTACAATATAATGATAGAAAGGTAGATTTTCCTTTAAGATGACCCAAGTGCACATTTGTTGGAATAGACTACTTTAAACAAAATATTTATGGGCAGGCTAACAGCTTGATACAGTATTAAAGGGCGTGGAACAAATGGCCTTAGCTATACATATTCTTAACAGGGTTGGGCTATTGACTGTATCTTGGCATCAACATTCAATTGTAGAGGGAATAGGGAATGGCCTTGAAGGACAGGAGGAAGAGCTGCTACCAAGGCAACGGTCCAGTAAGTGGGGCCTGAGCCCAGGCCAAAAAAATAACTTGAGAAAACATCTCAGACAAGCCCCTCCCTAGTTCACATAAAGATAAAGTGAGGGTGGGGGAAGCACGTTCGGACTTGCAAAATTCTGTTACTGTAGCTTTTACAATAAAAGTAGTCCTAACCCTATATGGCTTTGGTTCCATATTCTGGTCTACTTAGTTGATATGTTTTCATAAATCTACTCCAAGTAATTAATTTCAAATTAGGAACTTCCTAATTAAATATGACATTTTCTTGCCAAAGGTAATTCCTGAAAGAACAAACATTGTCTGGGAATTTTAGAGCATGCTGATACTGGTCAAACAATGAAAAAAATTATCTATTAAACAAGAGCTGAACTTTAACTGAAGCAAGGTCTAAAGCAGTGAGCAATACTACTTGGAAATAGTCATAGATGGCCAATCTAAGAAACATATTAAAACTGTATTAATATTTATTACCTGAAGGGCTCGTTTTGGCTTTCGTAATTCATTTTTGCTGCCTCCCTTTCTGGCATCTGATTCAGCTTCTTCTGCACCCACTCCTTGGACCTCTTCAGAATGGTTCTCACCTGGATTATTCTTTATTGAAGGAGATACGAAACCTTCTGGCTTCTCCCACGTTGATACTAGGCAACATCAAACAGCTGTTATATGTGACCAGTCTGGAAATTAGCCTTCTGAAAATCTGAAGCATCTGAGTCCGAAACACGAAGGCCCTAACATATATGTCAGTGGGGTCAAATTAATAAGATTAAATTAAACCAATGTTTGTTTCACACTTCACTAGCATAACAGGTACACTCAGATCCCAACTGAAACTGCTGGACCCAATTAAAAATCAAGGATGGACTTCTGTAGCTTTTTTGTTATTTTATAGTTGTACACCACCTTTTAAAAACGTGGCCTCAATTTATAAAGTAAACAATGCAATAAAAATAGCAATGTCTCAAAGTAAGAAGTAGCATCATCCTGCCAGATATAAGGATTTAAAACTGCATATTTATTAAAGCCATAGACAAATAAAAATTGGAATCATGTTGGTAATCTTTATATAACCTTAAAAGGAACAGCTTGCTCTTCTGCTTGGTACCAACAGTCTTTGAAGCAAAAGCTCAACACCCAAAATAGTCACTTTTATGTGAGATGGGTGGCTATATAAATATGATAAATAAATAAACAAATGAATGAATGTGATGAATCAGGGTCTGTTTGAAGCGTCACAAAATTCCTACACAGAAAAAGTAACTACGGCCATCACCAGCAAGCAATGCACGGGAAAGTCATGAGAAATGGAGAACATAGGATCTAACTCTTAGGTATGAATGCTGCAGCCAATTGTTCTCTCTTAGCTTCTTGGGAAAGCAAAACAGACACTATGGTCACTTGCTAGGGCTGGACAACACGGTGACCGTGGACATCTCCATTAGCACCAGGCATCTTTCCTGCCAAGATTTTTTTTTTAAATGGGAAGGAATAGGTGGGAACACTTGGCCAACCTTGTGCATGCTCAAGAGCTAAGCAATGTCAGGCCTGTTTAGCACTTGGATAAGAGTACCTGCAGGCCAGACTGGGAAGTTGAAATCTGCAGGAAAGACAGACAGACAGAAAGGGATGGCAAATCACTTTTGCAACAGTGGTGTGGAAATTGCATGAAGTCATCATGCAAAGTTGAGCTTTATTCCAAAGATGATTTTTCCTTTATACATGCTGCAAAGTAAAGTGGGAACTTCCACCATTATCGTCATGGTTACAATAATGCCTCTGGGTCCATAAAGCTTAACTGGTAGTTAGCTGCCACCCAGTGTGTCCACCTGCCCAGAAAAAAGGCACAAGTAAATCTTTTCTGGGGATGGGAGGATGGACTGGCCACTCCATAATGGAAGCCGTTTTGTGAGACCACCCAGGCAAATTCTCAAAATTCCAAATGCATCCATTGCCTCTCCTATTTTATCTGAACAAAAATATTCCTTGTCTAAGAGATTTGGCTTTCTGGCTTGAGGAGCAGCCAGAATAAAACCTCTTACCTCCAGTTTCCTTGTTGTAATAATAGATGCGGCCATCATCATTCGATCCCGCTACCCACACTGCTGCCTGAAAAACAAAGGGAAAACTAGAACAACCAAGCAGTAAAGGGTTAACTAAAACCTTATTCATATACTGGAGGAATGTAATCAAGTAAAATTGACATCTTTTTCCCCCCTCTCAAACACTGATTTTACCTTGTCAGAACTGGCATAAAGATACATTTATTTAATTTTTTTAACCGAAAATTATAACTTATCTACTCTAAGCTTGCTTCCTTTTTGGCAACAATAAAAGTACAACTGTTGCAGAATCCAATATTGTGGTCACCATACATATCGGAAATTACGCTGTTAAATTAACCTATGTAAACTAGAGACTTCTGGCTAATAAATGTGTTCCTAGATAATCCTGTTCCTAATCACATCCATTCAAAACTGATACAAGTAAACTAATTTTTCAGTGAATTGAGAATAATTTTTTAAAGTTTTTTTTGCAATGTCTCTGACAATAAACAAGCATTCAGTTACCTTCTGGGAATTCTGAGAGGTGTCCCGAAATCCGTCTGGTTTCTCCCACTGTGATTCTTAATAGTAACAGAAATAAAAAAAGATTTCAATTCTATCTGCATTCAGGAAAAAAAAAATATTCATCTTATGAATGATATATATTAAAAGAATAGAGAGAAGAAGAATAAATGGCAACTATAAAAAAAAGAGAGAAATCTGTGGCTAAATATCACTTTGTGTTTTGTTTTTATGGCAACCATAACAGTTTCTGGATATATGACTTTTTAAAATGAGCTTTCCTGCATTTTTACCTCCAGATATCGTGTTGTAATAATAGGTGTAGCCTTCTGGAGAAAATCCTTGCACCCATTCCTTCGTTCCATTGGATGAAATTCCCTTGGTTTGTCTTCCTTTTTTCCTCTTTTCTTTTTTCTCCTTCTTTTCTTCTTGTTTTTTCGATACTGAAGGCTGTCCTACAGATTCTGAGACATGAAATATTAGATTTTAATGCCCACCTGAGAAGTTCCTTGGAGAATCTCAAGGCTAAACAACTTTGCATCCATAGGATATTCAAAACATCTTTGAGGCTCTAGCAATGTCTGCCAAGCAGCATCCTTCATGGGATACAGTGTACAGTGGGGCAAAAAAGTATTTAGTCAGCCACCAATTGTGCAAGTTCTCCCACGTAAAAAAGATGACAGAGGCCTGTAATTTTCATCGTAGGTATCCCTCAGCTATGAGAGACAAAATGGGGGAAAAAATCCAGAAAATCACAT